TCAAAAGAAGATGGAAGGAATACACAAAGTAACTGTACCAAAAAGAATGGGCAATATTCAACTGTCTCAAGAGATAGCATATGAACAAGAGCCATTGGTACTTTACTGAAGGTAAATAAGTCCAAAGTGCACTGAAGGCATTGAGAAACAATAAGGCTCTGGAAATTTAAAGAATAAAATCGAAATCTTTCAACAGACTCATGTTGCACTGGAGGCACTCACTCATCTATGCCAAGAAATTTGGAAGACAGCCACCTGGTCAATTTATTGGAAAAGATCTATATTTGTGCCCGTTCCAAAGAGAGGTGACCCAACAGAATGTGGAATTCATTGGACAATATCATTAATATGACATGCAAATAAAATTTTCCTAAAGTTAATTTTAAAATGGTTCTAATAATACACTGACAGGGCACTACCAGAAGTCCAAGCCAGATTCAGACAAGGACGTGTAAGAAGGGATATCATTGCTGATGTCAGATGGATCCTGGTTGAAAGCAGAGAATCTCATAAAGATGTTTACCTGTGCTTTATTTACTATGCAAAGGGTTTCGACAGTGTGGAATTATGACAAGCTACGGACAAGATTGAGGAGAATGAGTATTCCAGAACACTTAATTGTGCTCACGAAGAATTTATACATAGACCACGAGGCAGTCATTTAAACAGAACAAGGGGATACTGAAAGGCTTAAAATTAGGGAAGGTGTGAACCAGGGTTGTACTGTTTCACCATACTTATTGAATCAGTATGCTAAACAAATAATCTGATAAACTAGATTATATGAAGAAGAATGTGGCATCAGGATTGGAGGAAGAGTCATTAACAACCTGCAATATGCATATGATACAACCTTGTTTGATGAAAGCAAGTAGGACTTAAAATACTTACTGATGAAGATTGAAGACCACACATTTCAGTGTGGTTGTACTTCAATGTAAAAAAAACAAAAACCAAAGAAACCCAAAAATCCTTACCATTGCACCAACAAATAGACTCATATGCATGTGAAAATTGGACAGTGACTTAGAAGAATGATGCATTTGAGTCATGGTGCTGGAGAAGAATATTGAAAGTACCATGGATTGTCAGAAGAACAAACAAATCTGTGTTGGAGGAAGTTCAACCAGAGTGCTCCTTAGAAGTCAGGGTGTCGAGACTTGTCTCTCATACTTTGGATATATTATCAAGAAGAACCAATCCATGGAGAAAGACATCATGCCACCTAATATGGTGGGTCAACCCAAAAGAGGAAGACCCCCAATGAAATGGATTGGTACAGTAGCAATGGGCTCAAGCTTAATAAGGATTGTACTGATGGTGCAGTATCAGAGCATTTCATTCTGATGTGCATAAAATCACTGTGTGTTGGAATTGACTCAATGGCACCTAAAACCAACCATGATCACAATGAAAAATGTTCAACAAAAATTAGCATGATGAATCCAGTTTCTATTCTTCCTTGATTCTCAAACCTTTAAAATGAACTATTGAGCCCATGGCATTCTTTCTTTCTCTTGTTATATTCTTTTTTTTAATGACAGCTTTGTTGCCATTAAGTCAATTATTTACCATTAGTAGGATAATCACTCTACAACAAGGTCAGGTTGAACCGCGTGGTCATTGGTTCAAACTCACCAATTGCTTCTCGGAAATCCTATACATGGTCGATATGAGTAGGAATTGACTCGGCAGCACTGAACAAGAATAAGAATAAATAGATCTATTCTCGTTTTAAAATTCCTTTTGAGCTGATTTTGGTGTCATATTTTCTTGGAACTTGTCCATTTTGTTGTAGTTTTCAAATTTAATGACTTTAGACCAAATTTGTTTTCTTCTAAAGTCATTTAAAGTACTCTATTATTATTAATATAATAATAAAAAAGGAGTCCTGATGTGGTACTGTGGGTTAATGTGCTGGACTGTAAGGTGAGTTTGAACCACAAGATCAACAGAACAAGCTTACCAGCCACTTCTAGGAAACCCTATACAGGGTTGCCATGCGTTGGAACCAACTTGATGACCCTCAACAACAACAACAATCATTACTTTTAAAATCTTCTATACCTATAGCTATGTCCCCTTTCATTCCAAATATTATTTTATATATTTGTAGCTTTTTTTTTTAAAGAAAACATCAATATTTCCAGAGCTTTGTTTCTGTTGTTAATCTATTTTTAAAATAATAAGAAGAAAGTAAACTTCAAGTTTTGTTGTCTCTCTCCACTTTGCCTTTGTGTTGACTTTGTGTGTGTGTGTTGACTTTAGTTTTGATTCATTTTTGCTCTTTTTTAATTCCTGTATTTTTTGTTTTTTATTTACTTCACTGGTCTTTTTTATCTTCTTGAATTGAGGCCTACCAGACCCAGGTGGTTATATAAACTTGCACTTCAAATCCATATAAGGCACAGCCTAGGATTTCAAATTTTCAGAGAAATCCCCTTTTGTTCTGCCTAGAGTCCATGCTGGAGTCCTGGTGTGGCACCGTGGGTAATGCGCTGGACTACAGGTCAGTTTGAACCACAAGCTCATCAGTCGCTCCTCGGAAACCCTATACAGGATGAGTCAGGAAACCAACTCAATTGCCCTTAACAACAACAACAAAGGTCCATGGTAAGGTAGATGAACTTCCCTCCTGAGTCCTGATTTCAGTGGGTGGATTTGTTTTGGGGTCACTTTTTCTCTATTTATGTTGGGGAGGTGTTTTTGGTCTATAAGTATCTTGCAAGATCTTAGGATTTTGAGTTCTTTTTGTTATAACCTCCTTCACCTCTCCACTCCAGAACAACTAATTATAGTCTCAGGTTTGTTCCTAGCCCTATGAGAACCACTTTCCTTCCATCAACCTCTGATAAATATATTAGAAGACGTACATAAATTTCTATATAGGTTGGAGCCACGTTATCTAAATGACAGCAACAGCACCAGAAGCCCAAGAGAACATGATATTGAGTATTTGAAACACGTCAGTACTCCTAGAATTTAAATACACAGGGTTGAGTGGGCTTTGTTTGTTTGCTTCTTTTCGAAAACATTCTTGGAGTCAAGTTATGTGGCATGAAAACTGTTAGACAAGAACTGTGTGAGTCATTCACGGAAGCCCTTTCTCTATTCAATTAACAAGAATGCCATATTTTCTACTTCCAGTAGTAAGGTTTTCATGGTCAAATCTAACAACTAAATTATTTGTCTGCTTTACTGAATTGAAATCTCAAAATAAGCCAAATTTTCATGGTTTTAAGACTGTTTACAATCACACCTCTCATGAAATTACAATAGGTACATCTGGAGTGGGAGTCATCTTTAGAGGATTTTTCCTCATTCCCAGTCACAAAAGACTATGACACTGTTCACGGTTCTTTTATTACCTCATTCCTTTGAGGTATCAATTCTTATAAAGAAAGCAAGAACAGCCCTTAGTGACCTAGATCATATGGACTTGGCTCCATTAAGCTTTGGTAGTAAATATAGCAAATCTCACCCTGCTGTCTTATAACTCATTTTCAACTGTCACTTGAGTGTCCAAAAAGTTCCATACAGAAAACAATGAACAGTAATTTCATACATAAAATAATGAACAGTGTTTGGAAGCAATTATGAAAGACACTAGAAAACAACACTTGTCAATTACTTGATTATTTTGCACCACAAAGACCTCAACATTTGTTCAATTAACAGCTATTAGCTTTTGACCCTCAGATTTCTCTTTTCTTTAAATTTCTCAGAGGCCCACTTCAAATACATGACAATGTTCACCTTTCTTCACATTCCTCAATTTCCTCAGACGAAAAGTCTCCTAACCAAATTTAAAGGGAAAGAAAACACTGCAGCGTATAATATGCTCATTTTCTCTGAATTATGAAGCCATTTTTGGCTTCAAGGCTAATGATTCTGTGATTGTCTTCCTCATTCGGTATAGTCATGCTATAAGGCTACTGGCAGAAGAATTTATTCAAGTTCAATTCCACTTGACATATGTCTTTGAATTCTGCCCTTGTTTTCTGGTATCTGATCATAGTTTGTACTAGAAAATGATATAAGTGAAAAATGATATAATCTAAATGATGGAATTTTACAAATTGAGATACCGTATTTCAATATTGACATGAGTTGATAAAGTTGCATTTCATTTTATAACATAACAAAATGGAGAAAGGAGAATAGATCTGAATTTATAATAAGTAGGAGACATGGTGTGCGGCATTGTGGGTTAATGCACTGGACTTAAGGTCAGTTTGAACTGCAAGGTCAGTGGTTCAAGCTCACCAGCCACTCCTAAGAAATGCTATACGAGGTCGGTATGGGTGGGAACCAACTCAACGGCACTTAACAACAACAGCAAGGTAACATATGTAACTTGTAAATATTTCTGCTTAAACTAAAGCACTTTATTGAAGGAAGAGTCATTGTCATAAATGAGAAACTTGACCACTGATACACTGATCTAGCTGATAGTTTTTTCAAATCTCTAGAACAAGTAACGGTCTCGTTATGTAAGATATGGTTCTATTTAATAACTAACAGGGCTTCTGATTCCCTATAAGCTTTCCTTTCAAATTTTTTGAATGGCTACAACCTGCATAAAGTGTAAGTATATATTGTTTCTCTGTACGAGTCCCCAGGAATCACAGCACATCTTAAGAGTGAAGCAAGGGGAAACGAGTTAAGAGCACAGATTCTTGATCCCGACGGTCAGGGTTTGAATCCTGGCTCTGCTTCCTACCAACACTGAGACCCTAAGTGAATTACTTAACATCTTGGTGCCTCAGTTTCATCATCTGTAAAATGGAGACAAAGACACCACCTACTCATAAGGTTTGTGAAGACTGTGAAGATTAAGTGAATTAATCACTTCTTAAGTACTTAGAATATTGCCTGGCACAGGGTAAGTGTCCCACAAATTTGAGTGAACTTGGATATATTTTGACTTTTGTAACATAGTCAGTCAAACTTGCTTACCAGTCTAGGATCGATCTCTTCATTAAGAATAGCTTCATTCTTGATGAGTGCCACTCGTTGTGCAAATCTGCAGGTAGATATAGATTCCTAGAAAAGCAAAATGTCGTTTTAAAATGGAATGGTATAGAAAAATATTTCTCTCTGGATAAAACTTCATTTTTTTTTTCACTGAAAAAAAAAACACAAAAACTGCACACCTTAAGAGTGATATGGAAAAATACAAGTAGGAGAAGGGATGTGTCTAAATTAGGGGTCTTTGCTCCAGAACACTGAACAATGCTAAAACTATGGTAGCTCTGGAAGCCCTAAATAGTAGCTGGTATGTTTTTCAACCAGTGATCTGTTAAAGTACATGTCAAGCCATAACCATAGTGGGTTCCATAATCCACAAACATAAGAAACTACAAAGTAACTATCTGTAACAAAAGGAAATGCTTCTGAAAGCATTTTACAATGCACTAGGGACTTGGCCTTGTTTTGAGAAGCCTTCTGGTGCCTTCTGTTTTCCTGTTTTGAAGAGTTTCTGGATCCCAAAGTTAAACTGAAGTGCATGAAACACCAGCTGGATCTAAAGTTATCTAGGGAAGTCATTCAACAACCAGTCTCTGTCAATGTATCCTGGGGCTATGTGCGGCCTAGAGACACCACTCAAGAATGCCTTTAAACTACCACGATCTCAGAAATCAGGAGCAAAACCAAGCAGGAGAAGCTGAAGGGTCACCTTTCTCATTTCTCTGCCTGAGAACCCACCAGCAGGCCCTTCAAAAATCTGTGTACACAGCATCTTCAAGCCATCCTGTGAGGCATGAAATCAGTTCCCAAACAAGGTTATCATAACGCTGGAAGTCAACCCAAAGATGTGACCTCTGCACACTATTTACCTCGGAAGGCATCTCTTGACCCAACTGAAGAGATGGAAACCCAGTCAGGACCCTTGACTTCAACCTTATACATTAACAGTAAAAATCTGGTCTGCGATCTCTGGCAAGAAGAACCAACGTACATCGATATTCCTCTTCTCTAAAGAGAGTGTCGCGATCATGGTTGTCATGCAGTTTCCTCCCAAACTGTCTCTGAGGACACTGGTCATCATGGAGTTCCTGTAGGGGATGTGTGAACGGTGCTTTTCGGAGAGGGCAATGATAACCTGTGACAAAACAGAACAATAACGGCATCACTGAGCAGAATGGGAAATGCACACATGACAAGCTTTGGAGCTGCAGGGAAAATAAATATGCAAAACTGAATGCAGGTGGCACCTAAACCTTGGGCAGCTGCTCCAACATGCCAACCTCATGTCCACATCAACGCCTCTTAGCCTGTTGTTCTTTCTACTTGGAACGTTTTGCCCCAGATTTTGTACGGCTTCCTCCTTCTCATCATCTAAATCTTTGCTCAAATTTTATCTCCTCACAATGGCTTCCCCTAAATAAACTATCAAAAATTACACACCTCTCCTCAGCCTGTTACTTTGTTTTATTTTTTCCTTTTAGTATTCATCACTGTTTGAATGGCTGTCTATCTCAAAGAAATGTTTTGAAGATCAAAAGGGACCGTACCTGGGTTGTCTTAGTAAAAAACAAACAAACAAAAAACAGGTACAGTGTTGTGGAAGGGTATTTAGGCACTTTTATTTAGGATCCTTTTGGAGACTGGTTTAGGCATATAAACCAGCCATTTCCTCAAAGAGGACTTGAGACAGGTGTCTCAGCTCTAACAGATGGTGCAGGGAGCTCCAGGAATACCATAACGAGTCCATCCTACTTGGAGCACATGCAGATCTTTAGCATGCCCTAGGAATGGCAGGGGATTGAAAGCAAGGCAGAGTTGGGTCTACTTGGTGGAGCTACTCTGGACTCTCCAAATTGGGCGGGAATCAAATTATCTTCTGGATGGTACAGGGTAAGGAGGTAGTCACACAGCTTTTCTTTGTTTTTTTTTTGTTTGTTTGTTTCTTCTTTTGATATTTACTTCCATTTTGGATTTCATATGTACATACCATGAAAAATCCTTCCAAAGGCACTCTCAAAGCAACAAAGTGGAACCTCATATTATGTTTAATAATATCTCTAAAGTATTCAGAGGTTGTGCTTGGAACCAATAATTCAGTTTACTCTTCGTTGAGTTAAAGAGATTTTCTTTGAAGGAGCTGAAAAGGACATGGAAAATTCTCCTCTCAAAACTGACCAAAATTCAGAGTGGTTACAACAGGCACGGGCAGCATTATTTTTTCTTCCATACACAACTGTTGGTAGACGCCAAGTGGAAACCCAAACTCTGCAAAAGCCCCAGTGATGTTGGAAACCAGACTAAAACCAGGCCCATTTCTGATTTTTGAAGCGGTAGAGAAGCAAACACCCCATATTCCGTGGTTTCTCACGTGACATTTAGGCTGATGGAGACCGCGGGTCACACTGGGGGCACTCAGTGAGATTTAGTTAGAACCAGCATGCATGTCTCCCTCCTTTTCCCGTGGACTCAAGTTCTAGGGCCAAGATATACCCTGTTATTGTGGTTTAAAATGTTTTTGAGGAAAAATTTTCAAAAAAGTACTGCATACTCAAGGAGGACTCCAAAACCAACAATATTCTGGCCAACAGCAAGTTGTTTACTTATGAGCACAATAAGGTGCATTCATTCAACTCGGGAAAGGTGGCTCCCTGTGAGCAGGTGTGAGCTCTCACAATCATGGCCGGAAGAAGAATTGCAACTCTGCATGGAATTGATACATGTAAGACAGGTTACCAAGCAGCCCTTTCTAACTCCATCTGCAGAGGATAGGTTGGAACTGAGACAATTAATCATTGAAAGTTTTACAAGGATTCCGATTACAGCATTTACCTTACTGAAATGTAGGTATGTATTTGTTTATTTGGAGTCCTGGTGTGACGCTATGGGTTAATGCGCTGGACTGCAAAGTCAGTTTGAATCACAAGGTCGGTGGTTCAAGCTCACCAGCCGCTCCTCAGAAATCCTATACAGGGTCACTATGGGTCAGAACCGAGTCAACGGCACTTAACAACAACAACATTTGTTTATAATCTTGCCCTTTCCCTGGAGAACTTGATAGATTGGAGTGTTTCTCAATCATATATTTATTCCCTTTGTCTAAAACAAGCTCATAGCATCTGGGGGCCATTCAATCACCATTTGGAGAGTGGACAAGTGGAGGAATGAAGCTAATTAAGCTAAACTGGATTATACTCTCCGTTTTATTAGCCACATAATAAAGTATTATATAAAGAGAATTTAATTATAAAAGCCCCATGAATCCTGTTATTTAATTAAGTATCTGCCCACTCTTGTAATTATTCTTGTCTGGGTGCATTTACTAGTCCTCTCTCACTCAGCCATTTCCATCTTGTCTGAATTCCAAAATTTCTCTTCTATGTACCTTCTGGCTTTCAAGCAGCTACTTCCTCCCACATGATGGACAAGTTCTTCTTTCCTCTCATGTTCCTCTCTCTCTGCTATAACTTCAGTCTTCCCTGTGAAGATGCTTGTATAGTACGTAAGATGTAAAGAGCTAGCAGTGGGAGAGATGTAGTGAGCATGCACCAGGTACACCGCATGAAGAGAGCCCAAAATCAATGGCCAGTGGATGCCTTTGAGACCCTGAGTCAGTCAGTCCTCTGGGACTGGTGTTCTCTCAGCCCCATCCTGGCCTGGCATACTCCCATTCATTCTCAAAGTCTCTGTCTAATATCTTGTTCTCAGTTCCACCAGTCCAGGTTAGATTCCCCTCACTCTGTATTTTTTATTCACTTGTCCCCTGGATTCCAGCTATATACTGATGAGGATTTATTTAATGCATGTCTTTCTACAGTGGATCTTGAGATATTGCGGATAAGGACTGTTTTCTATTTGTTCACTAGATTCAAGGGACTACCACAGTTCTTGGAACATTATTGTTAGTGTTGTTGTTGTTGTTGTGAAGTGCCATTGAGTCGAGTTGATTCCGACCCACAGCGACCCTGTGTAGGGTTTCCAAGGAGCAGCTGGTGAGCTTGAACCACCGACCTTGCAGTTCAGACAACTTTGCAGCCTGATTTATTAGTCCACAGTGCCATACCAGGACTCCATTGTTAGTATTGGTGTTGTTGTTATGTGCCATGGAGTCGGTTCCGACCCATAATGACCCTGTACAGGGTTTCCGAGGCTGTAAATCTTTACAGGAGCAGAAAGCCTCATCTTTCTCCTGCAGAACAGCTGGTAGTTTTGAACTTATGACCTTGAGGTTCGCAGCCCGATTTGTAACCACTCCGCTACCAGAGCTCCTTATTAGTGTTAAGTGCCATCAAATTTGTTCTGACGTACAGTGACCATGTATAGGGTTTGAATAGGTGCAGTTGGAGGGTTTGAACCACCGACCTTGTGGTTAGCAGTTCAGTGCTGATCCTACAGCACCATACCAAGACTCCTGGAACATTACAGGGCTTTGCAAATATTTGTTAAATAAAAAGGTTAGTTATATAGAATATATCTGGTTCGTTATGTGCCATGGAGACGGTTCTGACTCATAGAGAACCTGCATAGGGTTTCTGAGGCTGAGAATCTTTACAGGAGCAGAAAGTCGCGTCTTTCTCCCGTGGAACCGCTGGTAGTTTCCAACTGCTGACCTTGAGGTTAGTAGCCTGACTCATAACCACTACGAAAGGTCAGCAGTTCAAGCTCACCAGCTGCTCCTTAGAAACCTAAACGGGGTTGCTATGGGTTGGAACTGACTGTATGGCACTTACCAACAACAACAAAATGCAATAAAATAGTTACATTTAAATATACTTATATAAGAATATATTTATTTTATGTAGAATTATGTGTTGTTGTTGAGTCGGTACCGACTCATAGCGACCTTATGCACAGCAGAACGAAACACTGCCCAATCCTGGGCCAACCTCACTATTGTTGCCATGCTTGAGCCCACTGATGCTGCCATTTTGCCAATCCATCTCACTGGGGATCTTCCTCTTTTTCTCTGACCCTCCACCTTGCCAAACATGATATCCTTCTCCATCAACTGGTCCATATAAATTCATTTGTATATGTTTATGTGGGAAATCAGAGCCACCAAGACTACTGATGATCATAAAGAATTCTGCAGAGAAGAAATGTGACAAAGGTTGTGCTGAATGAATCAACATAAAAAGGATTTAGGGCAGGGCATTGCTCTTGAGTGATCACAATGGGTTTCAAGTCTGATTCAACAGATGAATATAATTTTGTGTGAACAGATGGACATAATGGGAATGAAAACAGCTAGTGCTACCATCTGAAACAAGTATGTAGAATCCTTTGAAATAAAGCACTTTGAATATCGTCCGTTATGCTGTCAAAGCAATGTTCTATGAGAGTCTTATTATGCAGAAAGTTCCGCTTAGTAGAAGAAGGGGATGATATCAGAGCATGAAGGAGCTCAGGAATGCTGCCTCTTGTCAGAAACATGCCATGCAGGCTTCACTCTCTGGGTGCAGCGCTACTGAGAGCAAGCACTCTGTGGAGCCCAGTGGAGCCCAGTGGAACCTGCTTGTGCACCTTCTTCTGTAACTGCTTCCCTCAGTTTCTCTTAATCTGCTTTGTAACCAACGTGACCATTACAAAGAATTTAGCATAAGAATTACATCAGTCTCAAAAAGGCTCATTGGGTGGCTAAAAACAGTGTTGTTGTTTTCTCAAATGTTTTATCCTTCAACATTCATTAACAAGTCCTTCTGCCTCACCAATAGATTCTGTACTTCCCTGCTCAGGTTTTTCATCATGTTTCTCTTCGCCCCGCCCTCCCCTAGAATTCGCAAGTAGTTTCTACCTTTAACATGCATCTCACGGCACTTATAATCACAGAGCTGAAAAGAACTTGAGAAATCATCTCATTCAATCCACTCATTTTAAAAAGGAGAGTTGTTTTTCCCCCTTAAAGATTTCTTTGCCCTTGGAATGAAATTCAGAAAATTAAAACAGAACATTGACTGAGGGGGATTGTAGTCAACTTGGAGAGGAGAGGAGGAGCTAAAAAAAGGTAAAGAGAACCATTGTAGGACCACAATTACCAACTACATGAAGTCACCAGAAGCTGAAAAAATATTTCTCATCTCTAAGTTATGTTCCCATAGCTAATTGCCTTGTCAAAAAAAACAAGCTCTGGGAGACCATTTATAACCTATACTCACATAGGCTTTGGAGTAAACCAAATCTCCATTCAAATCCTCACCCCACTATTACTTAGGTAGCCTTGAGAGTTACCGATCTTGATTTCCAAGATTTAGAAAATGAGGACTCTGTCACCAATCACATAGGGCTCTAGAGATGTTGACATGAAGTGATGTTGACAAAACGTGACCGAAAGCCTGCTGCACAGTATGTGCTCAACAAATGGTCACTACAGTTATACCCACTCGGTTCATTTTACCTGTTCTAAGTAATGCAGTGACAAGTTGATATATTTGGCCTCTGTTAGAAGCTGGCCCCCGACTCCAGTCTTTGCAACTCGCTCTGAACCAGCCAGGTCAACCAAATGGAGTTTGGCATGACGGACCGTTGCAGACCCTGGTTCCTTGCTTGATAAGTGGATAGTAAAAATGCAGTGGGAACGAGTTGAAGCTTGGTTCATAGGAGTCTATAAAAAGAAATTGCAAAACAAAAACATTTTGAGCAATGAGCATTTTGAAGAATATCAAGAGATTTAAATTTATATTTCTAATGATAAGACATTTCCCATGAAGCCAACACTGTTGAACAGGAAAAAGTCACTTGTAGCTGAGACTCTTAACCTGAGGGTCTTTCCAATATCCTTCTTGAATGACTGATAACAGATCTGGATAGATGGTTCAGAAACTCAGAATGGCATTCTAGTAAGGTTAACGTTGGGTCCTCTTACTCATAGAATAACTTTACTTCATTATATACGACAATTCATACTTAACTTTAGCTAGCTATATTGAAAATGTTTAATACTGATTCAAAGGAAAAGAGATGAGAATGTGTATAGCAAGAAAATTCATTGTAACAATTGTCAAGACAACTTGAAAACCAGTATGCCCACTGCTGCCCGTATTACTCAATCAGAGGTCCAAGGGAATGAAATAAAATAAATAAGTAAATGTAAAGAAGAAAGAAATGGAAGGCATAAATAGGAAAAGAAGATTTAAAATGCAATTATGTACAGAAAAGAGGGTGGCCAACATCAAAAGTGCAACATCATCAACAAGTTGCTAAGAACTAAAAAGTATAGTGGGATTGCTGGATGAAAGACAAATCCAAAATTATTGAAATTCTGAAGTCCAAAAATAATAAAAAAATATACAGCAGATATGAGTTGGCAAGGTATTAAACTTTAAAATGTATGAAATGTATAAGGAAATAATAGATATTAAAAGATACAAAAGGAAAACCTGAATAAATGGAGTGATCTATCTATCTATCTATCTATCTATCTATCTATCTATCTATCTATTCCTAATATGGTGTGGCAGTGTGGTGGTGTAGTATAAACACTGGACTGCAAGGTCACTTGATCCCTAAGGCTGGTAATTCAAACTCAAAAGCCACTCCTCGGAAACCCTACACAGGGTCACTATGAGTTGGAACTGACTTGAATGCACTTAACAACAAGAAGTGTAGCACTGTAGGATTAGCACTGGACTGCAAAACTGCAAGGTCAAATCCACCAGCTGTTCCTATTCTGGGGTTGCCATGAGTTGAAATTGACTCGAAGATATTTAACAACATTAACGTGTAGAAAGTCTCAACATTAATCTCTATATTAATCTCTACGAAGCAGCCCTAGTACAGTAGTGAGCTATGTGTTGAGCTGCTAACCCCAAGGTCAATAGTTCGAATCCACAAGAAATAAGAGGATTTCTGTTCCTGTAAACATTTAGAGGCTCAGAACCCCTATATAGATAGCTATGAGTTAGAAGCAACTCGAAGGCACACAGCAGCAATGACAATCGTTACATAATAATGTTCAACTCAATTCTCATAAAACACCTTGGATTGTGTTTGCAGAACAAGACAAACTGATTCTAAAATCCATGGAAGAGAAAACATTCTAAAATTGCAAAAAGTCATTCTGTGACAGAAGAACAAGCAATGAGGACTTGGCCTGTCATAAACTATGGTGTACAGCAAAGCCACGGTAGTTAAAACCACAGAGCACTGGTGCAGGAGCGGACGCCTAGACCAGTGGAAGCAGATGAGCTCATTCAGGAACACTGTATACACCAGAGGTGACAGAGTACAACACTAGTGCAAGGATTTCTGTTGTTAAGTACATTGGACTTGATTCCAACTCACAGTGACCCTGCATTAGAGTTTCTGAGGAGTGGTTTGGTTGGTGAGCTTGAATCACTGACATTGTGGTTGGTTCACACCAAACTTTCAGGGGGTGCTGGAATATCCAGTTAACACCTTAAAAACAAATATAGATTGCTTTCTCATATAAAAAAATCCAGAGTGGACAAAGGCATATGTGAAATAATATAACCTTCAAATTAATACAAGACAATATGGAAGAATATCTAAATCAATCCAAGCTAGTGAAGATTTTTCAAAGATAAGACATAAAACACAATAAAAAAAAAAGAATTGATAAAAAATATTTGTCCAATACCTCAAAATTAAAAGAAAAAACCCCCCATCTGTATGATAAAGTTTATACAAATAAATTTAAAAGACTAGGAAAAGATATTTGCAATACATAGAGCAGAAATAAGATAAATGTTATTTAAAATTTTTTAAATAACTACCACAAATTAATAAGAAAAAGATAAACAACTCAGAGGAATATGCAAAAGATGCAAACAGGCAATCCATAAAGCAACATCCTGTGATTGGGTAATAAACATTTGAAAAAAAATCCTCGAACTCACAAATAACCAGTTTGTCCTACTGTGATGGTTTGCTTGTTGCTGTGATTCGGAAAGCTATGGTACTGGTATATTAAATAAGTGGTTACGAATCGGACTGCGAACCGCAAGATCAGCAGTTCGAAACTACCAGCTGCTCCGCGGGAGAAAGATGAGGCGTTCTGCTCCCGTAAAGATTAACAGCCTCGGAAACCCTGTGCAGGGTCGCTATGAGTTGGAACCGAGTCCACGGTACTTAACAACAACAACAACAACAACAACAACCCATGATGGACAGGTTTCAGCTAAACTTACAAATCCGCACAGACTAAGAAGAAGGAACGACGGACTACTGAATATTTAGTCACTGAAAATCTTACAAATAGCAGTGGAAAACCATTAGATAGCTCCAGAATATTGAATACTGAAATATGATGAAGAGCACACACACACAAAAATCATCAGATATAGTGCTGGAAGATGAGCCCCTCAGGATGGAAGGCACTCAAAATACAACTAGAGATGAGCTGCCTCCTCAGAACAGAGTTGACCGTGATGATGTGAATGGAGTAGTCTTAGGGACCCTCATTTGCTGATGGGACACAATTCAAAATAAAGAGGAACTTCTGTAAATATCCATTAATAGTTGGAACATGGAATGTACAAAGTATGAATATAGGAAAAATTGGGACTTGTCAAAAATGAAATGGAATTGTCAAAAAATAAATTAGTGAGTTGAAATGAGCTGGTATTGGTCATTTTGAATTTGACAATGAATCACACGGTTTACTGTAACAGAAATGACAATTGATGAGGAATGGTATCGCATTCGTCATCAAAAAGACCATTTTTCAAGATCTGTCTTCAAGTGCAATGTTGTCTGTGATAAGATCCATATGACTATAAGGAAGACCAGTTAATACCACTATTTTCTAAATTTTCACCAACTACTAAAGCCAGTGATGATGAAATTGAACTACAAACTTCTTCAGTTTGTAATGGATCAAACATGCAATCAAGATGTATTGATAATTACTGGCGATTGGAATGCAAAGATTGGAAACAAAAAGAAAGGATCAGTAGTTGGAAAATATAGCCTCGGTGATAGAAATGATGCTGGAAACCATTTCACATGATAGAATTTTGTAAGACCAATGACTTATTCATTGCAAATACCTTTTTAAAGCAATATAAAAGAGGTCCCTATACACAGGGACCTCACCAGATGGAATACACAAAAATAATATTGACTACATGTGTGGAAACAGATGGTGGGAAAGCTTGATATCATGAGCCAAAACAAGGCTGGGCAGAATATGTAACAAACTAACAACTGCTCATATGTAAGTTCAGGCTGAAGCTGAAGGACATTAAACCAAGTTCACAAGAGCCAAAATATGACCTTGAACACATCACACCTGAATTTAGTTATCAGCTGAAGAACAGATTTGATGCATTAGACACTAATGACCAAAGAAAAGAGTTATGGGAGACATTAAGAACATCAAACAGGAAGAAAGCAAAAGGCCATTAAGATAAGAAAGAAGGAAAAGACCAAAATGGATGTCAAAAGAGACTCTGACACTTGCTTTTCAGTGTAGAGATGCTAAAGCAAATGGAAGAAATGAGGAGATAAAAGTGCTAAATAAAAATTTTCAAAGGGCATCCTGAGAAGACAAAGTCAAATATTCCAACAAAATGTGCAAAGACTTACAGTTAGAAAACCAAAGGAGAAGAACACATTCAGCATTTCTCAAGCTGAGGGGACTGAAAAAAATTTCAAGCCTTGACTTGAAATATTGAAGGGTTCTTTGGGCAATATATTGAATGATGCGGAAAGCATCAAAAGAAGGTGGATGGAATACACAGAGTCACTGTACCAAAAAGAAATGGTCAATATTCAACCATTTCAAGAGACAGCATATACTCAAAACCCAATGACATTGAAGGAAAAAAATCAAAGGTGCTTTGAAGATACTGGCAAACAATAAGGCTCCGGGTATTGATGGAATACAAATACAAATTGAAATATTTCAATAAGCTGATGCAGAAATTTGGAAGGTAGCTACCAGGCCATCTGATTGGAAAAGATCCATATTTGTGCCCATTCTAAAAAGAGGTGACCCAATGGAATGTGGAAATCATCAGCTAATATCATGAAGCAAAATTTTGCTAAAGATAATTCAAAAACACCTGCAATGATACATTGACAGAGAACTGCCAGACATTCAAGCAGGATTCAGACGAAGATGTGGGATGGGGATATCATTGCTGAAATCAGATGGATCTTGGCTGAAAGCAGAGACTACCAAAAAGATGTTTACCTGTGCTTCTTTATTGACTTTGCAAATTATTTTGTGCATTACAACAACATACGGACAATACTGTAGAGAACAGTATTCCATAACACTTAAGTGTGTTCATGCAGAACCTGTACATAGACAAAGAAAGATGTTCAAACAGAACAAGGGGACACTGAATGATTTTAAATTAGGAAAGGTGTGTGCCATGGTTGTGCCTTTGCCTTACTTATTCAATTGTATGTTGAGCACATAATCTGAGAAGCTAGATTATGTAATGAAGAACATGGCATCAGGATTGGAGGAAGACTCATTAACAACCTGAGAAATGCAGTTGATACAACCTTACCTCTTGAAAACAAAGAGGACTTAAAATACAGATGGAGATCAAAGACCACAGCCTTCATCCACATGGGTTGCACCTCAATGTAGAGAAAACACATGTCCTCACCATTGGACCCATAAAGAAC